GGGAGCCCCAGGCTGCGGGGGAGCCGCTGGGGGAGCTGGGGGGGTTCAGCCTGGAGCAGAGGAGGCTGAGGGGAGCCCTCATCGCTCCCTACAACTGTCTAAGGCTGTAGCGAGGGGGGGGGTCAGCCTCTTCTCCCAGGTAACAGGCGATGGGATGCGGGGGAATGGTCTGAAGTTGCGCCAGGGCAGGTTTAGGTTGGACATTAGGAAAAATTTCTTCACCAGAAGGGTTGTCAAGCATTGGAACGGGCTGCCCGGGGAAGCGGTTGAGTCCCCATGCCTGGGGGTATTTAAAAGCCGGGCAGAGGAGGTGCTTAGGGCCAGGGTTTAGTGGTGGGATGGCAGGATTAGGGGAATGGTTGGGCTTGATGATCTTAAAGGTCTTTTCCAACCTAAATGATTCTATGTTTCTGTTTAGACCTCTGCAGCTTTACGGATGCTCTAGAGCATCTGCTTCCCAAGGAACTGCCACCCCAGGGAGGAGGCGGTGGAGGAGGAGGAGGAGGAAGAAGAGGAGGAGGAGATGCTCCGCAGGCTCCTGGCGCCCCGGGAGCCAGCAGCCCAGGGCACCCAGCAGGTTCCCACGTGCCACACTCCCGCACTGAATGCCAGCCCACGTTCCTAGAAATCCCGCTGTAGCCTTCGGGTCCGTAAACACTCGTTCAAACCTGTCTTCACGTAGCAGCAGCGTGTGGACAGGTACCAAAGCTACAGGGAGGCGGCTCCTCCTGCCTCCCGGCGCAGGTCACCCGGGAGCACCCCGGCTGGAGGCAGCAGGCGCGCGGGGCCGATCCTCGCCGGGAGCCGACAGCTCCGTGCCTGGAAACATGCCTGTGCCTGTGAAGAACAAAACATTTGATTCTTGCACAAAGCCGAGCCACTTTCTGACATTTGGAACAATTTATATTTCACACGACTGGCGTCTGGCAGTTAACAAAAAAAATGAGTGGAAATGTACTGTCTCTTCCCCCAAAGACAGTGTTAGTGACCTAAGATTACAGTGATGTCTCTTCAAATGTCAGAAACATTTACAACGCTTTCTGTTTACAAGGCAACAGCAAATGTGACAGTTTTTTCAACGCTCTGCTCTGAGCCATGTCCTGCCTCCTGATGGCAACGTCCCTTTTCACAAGCCTCTCCTAACTGATCGTGGGACCAAATAAAATTATTTTCTCTTTGAAAGGATCCAATGATGGATTTCCTTTGGAAATATAATGGGACTTTTTTTTTTTTAGAAGGAAAACACTGTCCACCACGTATTGAGCACTTTTAAAACTTGATTTCTAAGAGTACAGAAGATCAGTGCCAGTCCGCCAAGCCCGTTCACCTGCACTTTGTTTCTTCAGCTGATGCAAACTAAAGCGCAATGGCATCGGATGGATGCAGTGTTCTGTGTCCAGTTGGCCTCTTGCCTGCGCCTGGCCCTTGCCTGCCAGCCTCGGCTGGTTTAGGCTCTCAGCCAACCCGGGTTCCCAGCCAGTAGCTAAGGTGAGTGGTTTATTCACTGAAAAAAAACCCCAAACCAACAAAGCTTCGGTCAAATTCAGCAAAAAGAGAAATAGCAAGTGAGCATAAAAGTCTTTTCTAAAAAACCCAGGAGCACAACAGCAGCTGCCCTGGAGCAGACGGATGGGGCGGAGCAGCCAGGAGATGGACTGGGCACCTGCAGCCCCGTGCTCAGGGGTACAGGAGGGTCTGACCCAAACTTGGGGGTCACACGCAATCAGCGTCCCAGCTGGGTGCTCAATGCACAGCGGGGGAGGCCGTGAGTTTTACACCGGGCTCCTTTCCCCGGCGGACAAGCGCGCATCTGGCTGCAAAGGTAACCGGAGATGGAGCTTTCCCTGAGGCCCCCTTATCGCTCCAAATACGGCAACTGATTAATATTAAAGCAGGTAAGTGCTCTAAACCTCGCCACTCTTACTGAAATGTTTGTCCCGTTAGTGAGACAAACATGAAACAGCCTTCATAAAACAAGAAACAAACACAGCAAAAAATAACGCAGGCCTGAAACCTGGGGGCGAAGAGTTTTAAAACGATGGGTTTAGATCACAGCAAAACTATCAAGAATTTAATTAACTTGTGTACTCAAGAGCTGTCAGCTCATCAGGATGGGAACAAGTGACAGGGCTGGGGACAGAAGACATCCAGATGTGTTTTAAACAGAACGCCCGCTGCAGCACTGACGAGGCTCCCAGCAACGCTGCAGCCACACCAGTTCCTCACCCCATGCTGGTTCCTCACCCCGTGCTGGTTCCTGCCTCCCGGTCCGGGTTTAATCCCCTTTCCTCGGTCGGACGTGTGATCCAACCTCATTTCTCATGGGGTGATTTTGCATAAAGCTTTGCTTTTGCACCTTCAGTTCCCCTCTGCTCCCGATTCCCAGAGCCCCCCTCTGGGCTCAGACCCCTTCCTGCCCCACCTCGTCCCACCCAGGGAGCTCCTGGCCCTGGCCTGGCACCCACCGCTGCGCTACCCCACAGCACATCCCAGCCTGGATTTTTTCCAGGCTTTACCAGCTGGATTTTTCCCTGGTTTTACTTTTAATTTATAAAGTTTCTCTAAAGACAAGTCTCACGGTGTTAGTACTTTACGGCTCACCACAGGATGGTTTTGCTTTTTGGCCAAATATTGTGATGGTTTTGTTCAGGATTTTTTTTTTTTTTTTTATTGGGAGGGAAAAAACCCAAACTCCTATCAAAAAAAAGTCACTTTTCAGAAACATGTGGGTAAAGGTGGCACTCAGCATGCCATGCACTTCAAGAAATACAGCAAGCCAGCTCCCCCATCCGACAATTTCCTTACCCACCCGCTGCCTCGCGGGGCGTCCAAGGCATCTGCTCTGTCGTGCTGAGCCCCGGGGAGGTGGGAAGGCCGATGGGCGACCACCCCACGGCACCGCTGCAAGCACTGCCCTCGAGCTCTCGTCTGCAATACACACACCAGGCTTCAGTTTTAAGAACAAACCAAAGCAGCCCATTAGATTCTGACACGGGTGGTGTTGCAGCTACATGTCGACAGCAGAAACCTGCTCCTAGCAGGGTTATTTTTCTCAGAGCCAACTGCTTGATTTCCTGCTGTAATAAAACATGTGCCGTGGTTCTGGGTGAGCAAGAGCTGCGCATTCGCCATGGCAAGGGAGGGTTTGGAAACTCACAGGTTTTTTTGCATTTCTGCAGATTCTCCCGACCCTCAGCCTGGAGGCAGGGTGGGATGTTTGGCAGCTGTGTGTAGGTACAGTAAATAGAGGAGAAAGGAAAAGGACAACTCATCAGCTGCAGGAGAAGGGAAGCAGACAGCCGACAGAAAATGCAGCAGGGGATGAACGCGGGACAACTTGGGCCCAAGAACGTGTCCCAGTGCCTTGAGAAGGGACTTGTAGTCACCTACAAGGTCAAGGTTGCGGTCTCAGCTCAGCCCTACTGCCCTTGGGAGTTTGTTCCTTTTATCCATTATCTCCTCAGACACCCTCTGCTTTCTAAAGCCAGCGCTGGGTTCTCAGTCCCCCTGCTCTCCCTTCAGCTCCCACACGCTGTACTTGCAGGGCTTTGCCTTTAGCTTTCGCAGGTGCAGCCGTGCCCAGTATCCGGGGGGTGACCAAGCCCCCACGTCCCCTCTTCGGCATCTCCCCAAGTGGGGAGGCTGCAGCCTCTCCCCAGGCAGGGGGGACTCGGCCATCCAGGCACCGGCAGCCCTATCTCCAGCGGCCCAAAGCTTGCTGAAAGGCAGCCAGGCTTAGGCTCCCGAGGCACTTGAGAGGCTTCGAAAACTTTGCTCCATTAGATTGATCGCAGCGGGAAAAACCTGAAAAGGCAACTGTCAATACATGCAGCACATGAAGATGAATTAACTTCCTGCACATAACGAAGCGTTTCCGTAAGGTTTTTTCTAACAGAGCCACAGAAAGCTCAGCACTGGGGTAGAATGAAACCTAGCAAGATAACAAACATCTCGAGACAAAGGGGATGGATACGTTGGTTTTATACGTATTCCATGAACGAATTCCAGCTGACACCTGGCAGAAGCATTCTTCTATCAGAGATAAGAGACACTAGACAAAGACAACCCTTTAATGGAAATGTTCATAGCTGAGCTTTAATGGGACTCTACAATACAACAATTAAGAGAATGAAATATTGATTTTCTTAATTTTTAAATTTAACTTTGCTACAATTAAACAAGTGTGCATTAACTAGCTCCATAAAACAATCTGAAAAACGGTATTTCCTTCTCATTCGCCGTCCTGTTATTTAGAAAATGAGGCTAGCAGGGCTGCTGGGAACACTGATTTCTAAAGGCCAACGTTGTCAAAGCTCCCACTGTCCAGGCCCCAGGAAGAATACTATGAGTAAGTCAAATCATCATTTAAGCCATCATGATTGCAGTCGGTAAAAGTTTTGAATAATTACATAAAACTTATAAACAGGGGGTTTTGAGCAATTAAAGGATTCTCTTTATGCCGAGAGATCAGCGTAACAAGACACACTGTCTTACAGATGGTCTGAGAGGGGACATCAGATCTGGTCAGTTTATTTTTCTGTATCTGAAAATGTTTATCTCCACCTTGGTACGACAATATACATCGGGAAGAAACATACAGACATACAGAGGGGGAAAAAAAAAAGCAAGTTATTTCTGAAAAAAATTATATGGGTGAAGTTCATTGCCCACTGGGTTTGATGTGTATGTTTGATACCATGACACCGCACACGCTCCCCAGGGAACGCGCCCATCACATCCCATGTCCCCATCATTCACTTCGCGGCATCCTGAGGGACTCGTCCGTCCACCTGGCCGACAAGAGCTCCTCAGACCTCCCTGTGACCGGTGACTGCTCCCAGGGCAAACGCAGGGACGCCTTTCAGCAGCAGGATGACTTAAGCTCCAACACAGGACACAGCACTTGAAGATCTTCAAAACAAAAGCTACTTGCAGCTGCTGGTTTGCAGTTTGGAGCAGGGTGGCTCCCCTGCTCGGGCTGTTCTCCCAGCAGGCCAGGGGCAGACCTGAGCCCCAGGGGATGAGCCCGGATGGTCCTGCCACCTCCCAGGAGGGCCTGTTGATTCCACCACCCTGACCATACTCCCCAGCCTCACAACAAGCACCTTGCTCCCAGAAGTCATCTTAACCCTTCTGTTTCTGGCACCCAGCAGTAAGCAGATAGGCAACTCAGCCTTGGAAGAAGAAACGGGATTTTATTGGACTTTCATTATTCAAAGACTGCTTCAACTGTGGGGGTGAGGGAGGACACAAATGGTTCCTATCCTAATTCCAAAATCCAGAGTGATGCAAGAATAAAAATGTTAGTCCTAAAATTGTACACAGCAGTTCAAATAGAAGTAATTTATAACTTCCTTAGGCACACAAAGCGGCAACTCAATAAATACACTAATGAACGTATTTAGTCTTGGCCATTACATTTCATAAATATTTACTGTTCAGTATTCAGAGTCCAAGTTCACAAGAATCAGTCAACAAGCAAAATAAGAAAGATGGAGGAAAGTGTTTTGTTCCACTGTGTCAATACAAAATACAGTCACTTCCTAAGGAGTGTGTCATGGCTCACTCATCGCAGAGTACAGGCTAGCATTTCCCATAGTGTAAATCTATAGCACCAACCACGGAAGCAAAGGTTCATGGATTTACACTACTGGAGAGCTGGCACACGGCCACAGTCTGTGGCTGGGCTGTTTAGTAGTACGCTCATTTAGCTTCAGACTAGGATAGTTGGGACCATTAAATATTGAAATAAGCAGGACCACAGCACTCAGGCATAGCATAAGGAAGAGTCCCCTGAGAGTTTACATCACATTTGAGAAACTAAAACACAATCCACCCTGAAAAATGCCAAGCCGATCATTTTGCTTTAGGGCAATCAAATCTGGTTCAAGTCTCCACAAAGAACAAACACAGAGTTTACTGGGGCTATTTGTAAGGGTGGTATTACCCTAACTCAGTAAAGGGTATCAAAGGCGGTTTGTGCTTATCTGAATTTTAAATGAAAAGTTTTATTTTAAACTACCCTGATGTGGTGTGTGGAACAAAAGGAGGAGAAGTGTATGAGACACCCTTTGTCAGGAACTTAACTTGCGCTTGATCAATTCCCCTCCAGGTTTCCTCTTCTTCTATTCAGATGCAGTAGAAGAGAAATACTTTCTGAAAGAATTCAAATATATGCAAAACTTGTACTGAGGCATGTCTTTACAGCTGAAAATGATCACACTGGCAGGGGTATAATAACCAAATATTTCCAACACAGCAATGAGAACTGAAGTAATGAGTGACTCAAGCGGGGAACAGTAACCCTACTCAGCTGCTACAGCTGAGCTTCATCTCTGTAGAATGAAGCGTCTACCCCACAGAATTAAGCTGTGCAATAAACAGCACACAGGGTGTGCTTGCACCTCCCTTGGTAAGACACAAAGCAACTGGCTGACTAGGCAAGGGTGTCTTCATAGCAACAAGGGCTATTTCTGTTTTGTTGCTCTATGTTCCCTTCCCGAATTCTCAGTCTCTAGAGATTATAGCACCAATTCACAGGAAAATTTCCAAGCTTACGATTGTTCCTCTGTGATTTTCATGATCAACACTCCCTTAAGCAGTATGATTCCTTAATCTTTTGTAAAAGATTTGCAGTCTGTGGTCGTCTTTTCTTCCAGCCGCGCATATTGAACCCTCTTTCCTCAATAAAATGGTACCAGTAAAATTCAGACAACAGCCATGGAATTCCGATGGCAATGAAGATATGCAGTTCCACGGAAACTCTATGCAAATACATCTTCTCCTGCAAAAGCAGAGAAAATAAGTTTTAGAAGTAGTTTATCAGGAGGTAATCAATAGCCATTTGCTCTTGTTCTGAAGCTAATTTAAGAGTTGACCAAATTTTCCCTCCACAGATAACCCCTGAAGACACTACTTTTCAGTAAGAATCCTTAGCTAGAACCAATACCTTATTTTACTAGGACTATCAATCGCACCCATGATATATTAACAGAGAGGAGAGGATATAATGCAGGTTGCAGAAATAGTCTCCATCAGCATACTCTTCAGAAACTCTGGAATAGTACTGAGCCTAATGCTGTAGTAAATCATTACTTTCTTGAAAATTCCTTGAAAGTTGCATGTTATTTATAATGGACAACCCCCCACACACATTTATTTGTAGAACTACAAGGAGCACAATGTGCAATAGGTATCACAAATGCTGAACAATTTTGTTTATCTATAGATGGATGTTGCACTTACAGCTGCTCATTAAGAGCACGATCACCCATACTGTTCCTGAAGAAGTGTCTCCATTATTTTAATACCCTGGGGAAAAAAAGCACAAATAAATGCCAGTTTTACAGGCAACTTAAGTATTTCATGCATTAGAAAGGGCACCCCACAACATACCAGTAAAGCCTTAAAAAAAAAAAAAAAAAAAAAAAGAAATTGCATCTTATGGTGCCATGCTAACTCAGTGCGGTTCTCCCCACTGCCCGGGGGCATGAGGAGCGCTCACGCACAGGCTGCACAAGGGGAACCTGGAGGGGACAAAGGAGCCTTCGCAGCTTGAAAGCTCTTCCAAGTCAGGGCTGCACAAAGCCAGGGCACTTGACCAGGTCACACATTTTATTCCAGTTCTGCCACTGCTTTGCATGGAACCAGCTACTTCTCACCCCTGGACCTTAGTATGTCCCTCTTTAAAACAGAAATACCATCGCTCATGTTCTTTGCAAGCAACTGGGTATGCAAGGATGAAAGCTCCCCATAGAAGCCCCTACAATTATTTCTATAATGAAGGAAAGTTAATATTGAAATGAAATAAAAAAAATGCCATCAGAGGACCATGAGGGTGAGTATTTCTTCTCCAGGACTGATGTGTGAAGAAAGGAGGAACTACCAAATAATAGAGTATTAATTAAAGCAAAATTTAGGTTGAATCTAGGGGGTTGGTTTGTCTGGGGGGGTTCACCCCAGATGAGCCCTAGGTGCTCATCAATCAGCAACAGCTCCACAGGTGCAAACCACTGAACCACCTACAGCAGGGCAGCCACCTCAAAAAAGAGGGGAAGCTTTCAACAAAGTGCTCTTCCCACGTCAGGGCTACAGACTGCTCCACAGCCAGATACTTCACTGTTTTGGAATGAATTTAAGTTCAAGGTTCAGTACAAAGTGAGAGAGAAGAAGCTTCCTATTTAGTGAAAAGCAAACCCCACTCATTTTAGATAAGAAAATCCACAACATTCCTCCCTCTCCTACTTTTTGGCTCTGGCTGTGTACTGGAATTGTAGTAATCTGCCAACCCTACCTCGAACATTTGGTCAGATCTTGTGAACTGAAGCAAGCTTGGAGCTTATCTATAACCTGTGTGGGGCTAAGGCTTACCCTAGTGTGCTCTCTGTTTGTAAAGATAAAAGAAAAAGGATCTCTCAGTTTGAGTCACTGTGAGCAGAGGTGAAAAAAGACAATTAACTTTAACAAATAGGTCAAGAGAATTTCTTTTCACATCTCTACAAAAAAATTGGACAAGCTATTTTATAACTATGAAGAACAGTTAGTCTTCCATGCCTATTCTTTGTAGAAGGCAATCAGCTGACTACCTTAGTCTATCAGTCTAAATTGGACATGCCACTGTTTACAGAATGAAGCACTAATTGACATAAGTGAAGACTGAGAGGTTTGCCGAAGGAATTTAAAAATGTTACTTATTGAATCAATTATGTTCACAGTGTGACAACTGCTTTTTCTTTTATTTCTCCTCATAGCACTGCAGACTTTTAAGCAAAATGGCGTTGAGGAAGAAAAGGGGAATGAGAGGGGACTCCATTAAATGAATAAAATACGAAAGGGCAGGTACAAGTCATTACTCAGTATCTTTTCAGCAAGGAACGACTAAATCAAAGCCTAATCAATATATTCCTTTCAACTAAAGTTCAAACACTTAAATCTCAGCCCCAGGAGATCAGGCTTAAAGGAGCTAAATTTACACTGCTTAGAGTGCAATGATGCGCTTGAAATGCAGAACAAACACTGCCTACCCATTAAACTCTGCACCTCTATAGCTGCAGCTTAAAAGCTTCTCTGATGGACAAGCCATAGAATAGTTTTATTTTTCAAAGGTGGAGGTACTCTGTGACTGTAAGAAGCTACTCCTGCCGTATGTGTCTACATACAGCCCTTATTGGTGTAATACCCCAAAGCACTCAAAGGGATGGGAGCCCAGCAGATTCCCAGTTCAGGAACGGCTACAGGAGAACCCTCCAGTGAGGGCAGCCAGTACACTGCAGCCACAGAGGGCACACGGACCCAGCAGCGGGGTGGCAGGATAACGAAGGAAACACGAAATGGCAGTCTGAGGAGTTTCCAGCACCACAGACTTGTTGAGCAGCCTGCGTTTGTATCTGGAATATCTGCCAGGAGCCAGACCGAACTCCCAGCTAATAGGGACAGGGAGAATATATTACATCTGTAACATCCTCCACATCTTTACCAAACACTGAAAGTTTTAAATAAGACGTTAAGTGATGTACAGGGAAAGCATAAACGGCCTGTTCGAATGTGATGGAGGCAATGCATATTACAACGCGTACCTCATTTCCATTGCCAGTACAAAAGCAGGGCAGCATTTTAACAGACTAGCAGAAAATTTTATGCTCTCTCTGAAAAGCGCACCTAATACCTTTCATTCTTTTTGTAGCCATGACAAAACATTTTTCAGTTAAATATTTGTTATTTGAGCTCAACTGCATCATTTAACAAAGACTACATTATAGCCTTTAATTTCGTCTCCTTATATACTCAAGTCAAGCAAAAGGAATCTAAAAAAGAAACCAAGAAGTGAAAATGACAGAAATGTCACAACGTTTAAGAGGCAACAGATAAAGCATCTACCAACGTAACAAAAGTTTCTTGCTACAAATGCTCCTTTATTGCGTGGCCTTAAAATCACTCAGAACTGCTTCACTATGGCAGAGATCATCATAAGTTAGGTACAAACTAATTAGGACACTTTTAAAACAGATTTTAAAAACTCATACACACAAAGGCTGACTTTAGGGGCCACCACTACCCCTCCTGGGCTGGAAACTTCTCCCAGACTTTGCCTGCAGACTACAGAGCATCCTTTCTCCTCTCTGAAGGAAGCCAGGCTCTCGCCAATAGACCCAGAACGGGCTGTGCTGGTAGCTGGGATTTACTGGCACATCTGCTCAGACTTTTGAATTATTCAGGAAGCAATAACGTGGGTGCATATCATTCATTAATACCTTTTCTGAACAGGTAAAGAAAAAAAATAATCAAATGCTGTAGTCTCCACCCAAATGCACTATGACTTCTACAAACAAAAGCAGGTCAGGAGAACTTTCTCTCTTGTATTTTTGTTCAGAGTTGGAATAAAATAAGAGACATGTGACAAATATGAGGAGCCATAAAACGTCACTGTCGTTCTGTTAGGCATTAAAAAAACACCTACCCACAGAATAGGCTCATAGCTCAGTTACAAAAAAAATTATTAAAAAGATCAGTGCCTTTGGTGTCCATGAATAGTTTTATGAATAGCAACTCTTCTCTATGAACTAAAGATATTAAATATTGACTGTGTGAATACATGAGCTTTACTGCAGTCATTCACAAAATTCAATAAGCATACAGTATCTTCTCCTGCTCTTCATGTAGCGCATCCCCGACTCCATTTCCTCTGCCCCCTCATGTTGCTGCCTCCCACTGTTTCCTTACTCCCTTATCTCATCTGAGTGTCTCCAAACAGATGGATGGAGAAGTGCACTGCTGTCAGAACTGAGGAGATAAAGCAGGAATCATGGTTTGGCTTTGAAAGTAACACCCTTACAGATTCCAACCAATTATACCAGGTGCAAGAAAAGCAATGCCTTTTTGGTCAGGCCATTAGGAAGGATGCAGATCAGGTACTGGAAGATAAGAAGTAAATGGAAGCTTGGAGAACATTGATCAAGCATCGTCATTCATGCAACGTACATTTTAAAACTTTAAATATCATCTTTATATTGCCATTTATTACATTTGGGTAAAATGTGCCTCAGAACTACTCTATGGCCAAGCCACAAAAGGAGCCCTGTCTAACACCTTAGGAGAAATGAAATGCGTAGCTACAGCTGCTGTCTTAGGGAGACAGATGTTTTGGAGGTGGGGGGGAAAACCAGGCAAGACTGTACATTTATACCAGATCTGGTGTGCTTGTATTTTTCTTTTTCACAGATCTGCAGACATAGCCAAAATTGCTAAAGGATTTCTTATGCAGCATCGTAGAGATACCATGAGCCCCCCCCCCCCCCCCCCCCCCCTGCCATAAGCCAGCAAGACGTGTTTCGTTGCTCACGGTCATTGCTTACACTAGCATAGCTGTCTACTTCTGTCTTTTTTTTTTTTTTTTTTTTTTTTTTTCTTTTAAAGCCACAACAAGAAGATCTTATAGTTATCAAGAATAAGCCAATGGATAAATGGCCATGCTGTTGGAAATACATTTCCATCTACAGCTCTTGGGGCACAGACTCCAAAATCTGAGAGGTTGGGGCTGTTGGCCCCTGCGCCACTGGAGAGAAGAGTGTCCAAAGGGACTGCAGGTGCTGCCCAGGCTCCACGCTCCAACACCCACCAACTTCAGTGGGAGAAAAGGCAGGACACTGCTAAGGTTTTGCTTAAAAACAAAACCAAAAAAACCCAAAACAAAAAAAATAAATACTTCGACAGTACTAACCACTTGGTCCCCATAAATAATTAAAGAATGGCATAAGGCATGATCTGAACTGTGGGCATCTAACTTCATCTGAAAAACTAATTTCTCCATCAGATAACTAAAAAATGATAAATAGTGGTAAATACAGTTCATTATAGCTTTGCAGTACGTAAGATTCATGAGCCCAGCCATGAAAATGCTGTGTTTTCATGCACATACATGCTTTAATTCATCTGAAACAAGATACAAACTGGAGTGGGGAAAAGATTTAATAAAATATTCCTTCCTTCTCCTTCTTGCTCCTTTTTCAGGAGGAGTAAATTTTAAACAGTCTGCACAGCACAACCTGAACCCCCAAATCTCTTCAAGGCACAAACTTCCAAAGAACAAGATTTCCATGAAACTTCATTTCCCAATGAATGCTTCAGGAGACGTTGCTGTTAAACCTAGTTTATCAATATGCCATGACTCCCAGAAACGAAAGGCCTTTGAACACTAACTCCCTTGGGATGCTCTGCTGGATAGCTTTTATCCTCTTTCATAATTCTTACTGAAAGACAGAACTATTGAAGTATACAGAACCGCTACAGGGAGATTGACTGTGGCTATTGTAAATACATCAAGCTGCCAAAAAAAAAAAAATCTAACATTACTGGAGAAAAATGTGTGACACAATATAAATTCATGTTGACTACTTTTGACTATTTCAGTGTAAAGGTGCTATAGAACCACAAATTATTATTACAGTATTAGCTGGTACAATGAGGCATTAGGAAGAAGAACTGTTTCAATGCCTGAGGGAAATCAGGAATAAGAATGAATTACAGAAACTGATACAGTCATACATGCTGTGTTTCAAAATGTATTTGAAATAAAACTATCACCATAATAAAATTAAATCCATTTTTGTTCTGCTTATTCTCTGTAGACAAAAGGAAAGGTCAAATATTTTCTCATCAATTAAAAGATGTAAAGAATCCAGACTTAAAACATCAGTTTAATTTTGAGCCCAGATGATCTGGCGATTTGAAAAACTTTAGAATATAATTCAGGGAAGAAATTCAAGCAATAAATGACTTACCTTCTTCACACCTTGTTTTAAAAATGATTGAGCAAAAGCTTCCAACACACAGTTGAGCAAACCTGCCCCCGTAACTGATATTCTGCCTTTTTGTGTGAAGTCTGTCCTAAGGAACAGAAAGATAACACCCTTTTATTTTTCTGTCTACTTAGTAAAGATCAAGTGTAAACTCTACATTAGAAAGGTAGCGTTTGATACCCGAGTAAGGGATTAATCTCTTACGCTCACATATTTTGTATGACAATCTCAAAGGCAAACATAATGAGACACAGGAACATCAGCATAACGAGAGGTTTGTAACAACCCTCTCCCGTGGTGAGCGCTGCTGAAGGTCCAGCTGGACTCTGCTTCAGGAAAGACAAGCGCTTACTGGAGAAGCTGGAAGAGCAGCGACACAGAGCAAGGTCTGGAGAGGACACACAGCCGTCTCCAGAATCACGAAAGCCAACTGCAGACACAGTGAAATACGCTTGTACGATTCTAGGGTCCTCAGGACATCATCCCACCCAAGCTGGACAGAGGCAGTGGTAGCAGTGAGGAGAGGAGCCCCCACTCCTACCCCCACAGCGTGCACACGAACCTGGCACCACCGATACCCTCAGCGGGCCGTGCCCATTTATGATTTCTGTCAATGCAATTCGGTAAGACAACAAATGTGGAGCTCAAGTGAAGGAGCTGGAGAACATGAGAAGTTCCCCTCAGCCACAGGATGGATGTCAGGAGTAAAAATCCACCACTGAACTCAGCTGCTCTGCTTGGGACTTATTTATTCATTTTGCAGTTTCGTCATTGTAGGGGACAAAAAAGGGAGGCTCAAGGAAAATATTGATCTCCGATTGATTCGTGTAGCACGCAGCTGGCAATGCCGCATCATTACAACACAGTCACAGGGAGAAGTCTATTAATGAGATCCAACTACTAAATTATTGACTAGTTAAGTACGGCAAATTCAGTCTAATTGTTTTCATGATGGGAGCTTAATTAAAGTGTCTTTAGTATAAAAAGTCTAGCAATATTCTTGTTCAGATAGCATCAGGGAGAGTTCCCAAAGCCTGCATGGCTTTCAAAACCAAATTAAAAGTTACATCCAATGCAAGGTTCTTCAAAAGAGGGACCTTTTTGTACAGGAGATCTTTTTAATTCCCGTCTCCAGCTGACAAGCCCTGCTCATGCATCATGTGCATCAGGGAAACACCTTCTCGCCCTGCACCCACCGTGCTGTGAGAGACGTCAGCTCCCTCAACTGTGCAAAATGAGGGAATGTGCTGGGTAATAAAAGGAAACTGATGACAATTGAGGGATAAAAATTGAAAAAGCAGAATAACTGCTCCTGGCAGGGAGGGGGAAAGCAGTCAAACCAAAAAACAGAGGGATAGCAAATGACACCAGAGACAAAATTCAAGCTACTCAGGGAAGACAGGTATAACTTGCCCAGACACACGGAAATTTGCCCAGTACGCAACTTCAACATAAATGAGGCAGTTACAGGGGAGTTTTGCCACAGACTTTCCCCTTCAGGTTGGCACTGTGCACAGACAACTCTTCCCAGAGCCCTCCCTGTCAACACAGACACTGCCCAGCTCAGCTGGGTGGAAAGCAAGCTCAGACCTAACGCATGTAATGCACGCTTTTAGGGTAAGCGCAAGTGAGTCATTAAGAAATTGTCACTAACCCAAACACGCAAGTGGTGGAGAGCGGCTGACGGGATTCACGCTGGTTTGATACACCCACAGTGAAAGCTCTGAGCCCCGGAGCCCCCCAGAGCCACATCCCACAGCAGTGCCAGTGAACACTCGGGCAGCACTGGCAAGCCCCCCCAGACCCTCTGCAGGCAAACACCATCTGGGTCTGGACCCACCCTGCCTGCAGCCAGACCTTGCCCGCAGGGACTAACGGGCTTTCTTTAGACATCAAGACAAGATGCTTGTCTATAATAGCAATTAAATCACGGAAACGAAATAAAAAGTGTCATGAAGGAGTTCAGCCAAGAGGATAACACAGGTGCTTTCTGGCCTCTGAATATACAGATATGCCTCATCACGCCTCTTTCAATGGTTTAGAATTTATTTATGGTAATGTTTGTTTGCTGCTAGCTCTTTTCAGGCGTTATATGCTCTGCTTGGAAGCACCCACAATAATTCACTTTGCAAGAATATGCAGCAGTTGGCATCACTGCGTTCACATTTATTTAGGCTGAAATAACCACCTGACATTAAGAGAAAGAACTACGCTGTGGTTAAATTGACTGTTTGGGACTAAGCAAGCATCACTTCAGTTGCCCCAGTTCCATTAGGGACATCAGGAAGGTCGCAGTCTCCCTTGCCTGACTTGCGGTTTTCTAGCTGAATATAATAAAGGATGTAACTGCCAATCTCAAACTGGGTAAACTAATTCACGTCCTATGGATGAGATTCTGCTAAATGTCTAAGCCACCAGTCCTTGCAGGGACTGGATTTGTGGTTTCATTTTCTACAGCATATTGGTCTACAAAGTAGCTGGGCTGAAGTCAGCACAGACAGTTATAACTTCATCTGACAGGGGTAGAAATATTCTGCATTCCTACCACGCATGGCTGGGACCAGGCTGCAGCTCTCCAAAGCAGCAGCTCTGTCACTAACCCCACTGGCAAGAGATCTCCTTGCGGAAGCAGAGAGCAGGGCTGCAGGCACGGCAGCTGTAACGCACCCCAAGGAACATCCGCAGGGCAGCCTGCAGTCACCTCCCCAACACCTCCAGAGCCACCAGCTCCCTGCTGGGTTTGGAGCAGGCAGTGCCCGGCACGGAGCCCACCACGCACCCAGGAGCTGCGGGGAGAGGCAAAGGTAGTCAACTTGCTTGTGCAGCTGATCAAGATGCAAGCCAGCAAAGCGGTGCTCTGCTTTCATTTATCAGCATCCTTAACAACATCATGTTAAAGCTGATGAAACAAACAAACAGCTCACTACAACACGCACAGGGTGTCTGACCGAGGTACAGAATTTTCTCATTCTCTTCACGCTTTTAGTGCCCTGAAGAGTTTCAGAAGGTTGCTATTGAAATCTGCCCGGCAGGGCTTAGGAGGAAAGACAGAGAGATTTCTGTCTGTACTCAGGTTACCATCACTTTCATAACATTGTTCTCTCTTTAGAGGCATAATGTACAATTTTCCCACTAATGAGGATCACTTGAGTCTCCTCATTCTGTGTTTTCTTATTTCTCTCCAGTGCAATAGTATGCTGCTAATGTTATGCCCTTTGCATAATTCCTTCGTCTATTCAAAATTTACATTTTGAAATGTAGATTTCCATACTTATGCTACATGCAGCTGAAATTTCACGCCTGTTTTGTCAGCCAGCATTTGTTAGATCCAATTACCTCCATAAAACTCCTGAAGAGGTAACAGTGGTGTGCACAGGCACACCCAGGTATCCTTGAACATACCTGGCCAGGGCAGCTTGGCTGAGGTCCGCGGGCTCCTGCACCTACGTACTGCAGCTGCTGACCTGCATCGGCACCCACGGTACCTGCAGAGGCACCGTCGCCCCAGCAGACACCGAAAGCCTGTGTAAGTGAGCCTGCTGAGGCTGCAATCACACTCGGGCAGCCCAGCTACAGCTCTGCCTTCCTGATTGCCACAGTATGCTTTAAGGTAAGAGCAAACAGTGGTGACACCAAGCTCGGACAACTCTCCTGTGCAAGCCTGCAGCAGCACACTGAGGACAGTATCTTTCCTAAACTGGAACGGAAAAGTCTTGAAAACAGGGCATGAGTGAGTGATCAGTTGCAGTACTTAAGAGTTTCTACACCAACAGGACCAACGCCTACAGTTGCAATGCAACTCTGATGCGGAGGAAGCCTCAGTAAGGACAGAGGGTCGCAGCAAACTTTTGAAACAAAACAGTTTAAAAAGCCAGAGGAATGCGTCCTCAAACAGCAACGTCCCAGCATAGGGCTTTCAAAAATGCCTGAGCCACAAGGATTTTAATTTCATCTGAAGTTGGTGTTTTTTTCTTCAACATGCTTAGAGCTTTCCCAAGTCACATGGACCTTGCTGGACAACCCTGCCATGCTTCCCAGGGAACATCACAAGGCAAAAGTAATGACAAATTACAAGAGACACCAGAACAAAGTAAGAATTAATAGGGTTGACATCAGCTGGAAATAAATCTTTTTTTAAAGACAGTCATACATATCACATACCTACTCATTTCAATGCTACGAGAATTAGAAATTCCACTCTGATCCTGCTGCAAATGTGCATAAAGAGATTTCTAGGCTCCACCCTGCAGAAAACCAAGTGTGTGTTCTCCCAGGCAAAGTCCCACAGCAGCTTACACCTTTGAGGCACAGTGGATCAGAGAAAGAAAATTGTTTGGGAACAAGTATGCTCCATGCCAATGGCTGGCAAGCAGGAGGGAGCTGGTAATTTTTAAACTGCTGTCCAAGCATCTGTTAGTAGATACGAGAGCAAAACGAATACTCTGGCTACGCCTGCTGTGCGGGAACAGCAGGGCAGCCTTCTACGACTGCAGAGCAGCACACACAAAATTAATTTTCAGCAATTATTTGTGCTCTGGCCAAAGAACCTAACCTTGCATCTGAACAAGTCAGAGGAAAGCTGCAGAACATCTACAGTTGCTGCTTCAAATGCATTCCAGACATACTGAAGAAATTATTATTCAGACCCCTCTTATTCCAAGCATTCAGAAGGCAACAGAAAATCCTTCTTCAGGGCCGTGGGCCTGCAGTAGCAGCTCTGAGCCAGCACAGGGGCACTGCTACACCCAGAGGCCAGGACTCACCAGTTTGGGTTCTCCAAGCTCTCTCTGAAGACAGACTCCTCACTCAGAGATGCATACTGTGTCCATGTAAGACAATGACTTTTCATAGCCATGTTTCTTTTCTGTGTATTAAGCCAAGATTCCTCTTCCAGGTAGATGTTGGGCACTTTTAAGGCACTGACCTGGGAAATAGAAGAATTATAGCTTTTTTTTTTTTTGCTTTTTTTTTTTTTTAAAAAAAGAAGGTAGAATCACTTTAAATATTTCAAAAGTACTACTAGCCTTGAGGGTAAGACTGAGGATTACGGAGGAGGGCCCATCAGCTGTGTTTAGCCCTGATGAGAATCCACTTCCTCAGCAGCTACTAAAGGCCATGCAAACACACCAAGACTTAGGGAAGCTGCTCGGCCCCGAGCTGGACTTGCAAGACCACTACAGGCCAACTTACCTGCATCACTTCATGCTTTCTCTCTTGCTGCTAATAGCTAATTTACGACAACAAAGGATAACAGAAGCCACTTCCAAACAGTTACATGCAAGGCAGCCAAACCCACCAGCTAAACCACGAGAGCAGGAGAAAGGCTTGCACCTCCGCAGGCTCCTGCTGCCAGGCACAGAGGCTGCTGCCCTGCTCCAGTCCCTCTCTCCCAGGAGGCCTCCTCCTCTGAGAGCCCACTTGTCAACCTAAGTGACCTTGATCTAGCAAGCATGGGCCAAAGAAGGGATGAAAATCTCACCATCAGTTTATTTACATTCTGCATGTATAGGGCAACGATATGTTCGCCTTGGCAGGTGAGGCTTGGAAGAGACAAACACATGTTTAGAGGCAAAACCATACAGAGTCGTCAGCACCAGGAAAAGAGTACATGCGTATTTTAAGCATGCAGGCTGTGAAATAGTACAGTTATTTAACCATGCATGAATGCAAATGTACTTTTCTGTACACAGACTATCTGCTGCAAGATACTCTGCAAAAAAACAAATAATAAATTAAGGCTAATTCTTCTCCCATAACAAACTGTGAAGAAAGGACTGTCACTAAAAGCGACACAAGAGAGAGACACTGAGGGATTGCACAACCCAGGTCCTTACGATTTCTACAGCCTTTAAGGAGTCACGTTTTACCTTCTTTACAGGGACACTACGATGCTGTAGTTAACTTGCAACATACTACAGGCACATTAAGTATTATTTTAATTTCCTCTGAGTTCACTTACAGAATGGTTTTGTGAGAGATTACAACCCGATGTGTTCAGGAGCCATGGATCAGACATCCAAAATACATGAGCTGAGCTTAGAAATAGTTACCCAGTGTTTATCACTAGCTGCCACCTTCTTGCTGACTTCCACAAACCTGGGCTTTTGTAAAAATACCATCTACCACACAAAAATAGTGAATGTTGACAGCAATAAGATTATTATATTGGGGTGGGGGGAATGGCTATATTTTCACTCTGTCCCAGATAACATTTTAAAACAGCTTTATTTTTTCCAGGTACAAAAGTTAAAAGCCCATCACTGCCTGTAAACCAACCACCACCACCACTTACATCTTAAGTGTGCTCAAGGCTACAATTTTGTCCATTCAAGTTAAATATAAAATCAGTTCCTAGAGAATTTTTTTCTCTTAACTTCTCTTTAAAAGTAACTTTTCCAGTTAAAAAAAAAAAAAAAAAAAAAACATTAGGAAAGGTGATCCTTTTAAACAAGATAAACCACAGTGAAGCATTAAGGTTTTACAACTTGACTGAATTTCTCTAAATGTAGTTACCTTTCTTAAAATTTCAGGAATTACATTCTGGCACGTTGCAATTCTCCTCCAGTATAGTTACTTCAAACCATTTCTTCGAATTTTTTCAAGGTGATTTTAAATTTAGTTCATTCTTCAAGTAGCTGCATCCAGTATAGCTTCAGTATGTGTGCAAATGTGATACAGGAATACTGCAGTTTATTATCCATTTTGTAAGCAAATAATTCAAATAGGCCTGGACTGAGGGCAGATCCCTACAGAGCCCATACTCTATTAACTTTTCCAGTTAAAAAAAAAAAAAAAAAAACGAACATTAGGAAAGGTGATCCTTTTAAACAAGATAAACCACAGTGAAGCATTAAGGTTTTACAACTTGACTGAATTTCTCTAAATGTAGTTACCTTTCTTAAAATTTCAGGAATTACATTCTGGCACGTTGCAATTCTCCTCCGGTAAATAATCCCCGTAGACAAATCTGATGATAAAAGAAAATCAGAAGAGAAGAGTTACAGCAGCAAATTTTACCTTTTTTTTTTTCTTAATAAAAACAAGGTAGTTGGAAGACTTCACATCACAGTAAATATGCAAGAAGAAATGCTGGCAAATTAACAGAGCACGGGGGTGGGGAGGTGGTTGGTTTGGGGTTTTTTAAAGTATAACCTAGTATTTCTGCTGCTTTACCAGACAGAAGGCTGTAAATAAGACTGCTATGGGCATTTTGTGTTCTGCCTCAGGAGGAGGGCATCTGCATCCACCACTGCGATCCAGACCCCCCCCCCTTATCCAGCATGCGGTACAAACATTTTACTGGCATTTACAGTGGTGCTCCTGGGTAGCAAAGCACTGCAGGCAGTGCTGGTGCCAGTGCCAGGCTGCGTGGGTGCACACAGGACTCCCTCCCACAGCCCATGCAGGGTCTGGCAGGACCCACTGGAGAACCCTGCTCCTGGTGGCACCGGGTGGACTATGACTGGGCCAAGGGAAAAGCTCAGGTGACACAGCTACCGGACCAACATACAGACCTAAGTTTTAGTTTATTTCTATGCCCACCCCAATTTATATTCTCAGGCTCATTCTCTGGGCAAACACACTGTGTACGAGATTTATAGAACAGTCCTGTCTCATCACACATTTACTTTTGTATTGAGTTGGACCGTGACAAGGACAAAACTATCTATTAGGAAACAAATTACAGTTATTTAGTATCTCCAAAAAACGGTTGGCTTTTAGAATCACTTTGCCTTTTAATATTTAATGACCCAGATGAAGAACAGAATGCTACCGATCAAGAAGCCAGCTGGCAGGCAGCCCAGGTTAAAGACTTCTCAGGATAAAAAAGTACCTTCTCGAACAGTTGCATTCGGTGGGATCTGTGCAATGAAAACTTCATGGGGTTTGGTTTCCAGAACTCTAACAAACACATCACATTAATAATATGGAGCATCTATTTCCATGTAACGTAAAGCAGAAAAGCATTCTGCAGGAACAGTGGTTTACTGCATTTGAAGAAAACGGCAACGGCAGCACTAATGCTCGGCTTTCTTGAATCTCACCAACCTTGCTTAGAAAGAGAGCATAAGCCTGGAATTAAGAGCCACCATTAAACCTGAGTTGCAAAACAAGAGACGTCTCCAAATGTATGATAAAGAGCATCCACAAGCATTTGGGAATAAAAATTTAAAGTCCACAAGTTCTTATCTAATCCCAAATGAGTAGTTTATCATTATTCCCATATTAGGAGGAAAAGTGGGTATTTCCATGCAAAGTCCTACAGTATTTGTTACCCACGTGGTGGCATAACTTTAATACATCCTCTGCACAGGCAAGCAACCTTAAGTGCCTAATGGCAAACATTTCCTGCAAGCTCAGCAACTGGAAAACAAAAATCCATGTGTATCAGCGGAGCTGATCTGATAACTGCGCTCTGACCTGGGCAGATTTATTTTCCTGTCAACATGACTGGGAAACAGTAACATCTGATTTTCAGTATTTCAGGAATTCTGACTGATTAAGCAAGAGACTGATGATCTGTGATTGCTTTCTGTCAGCATCCTAAAAGGCCACCGCACAAGTCTCTGATTCCTGGAACTACCTCCTCATCTGGTAAGTGAAACAGCAGGTGATCCCTCCAAAGGCAGGGATCATGAAAGCCAAGTGGCATGATGCCTGTGGAGTGCCTGAGGCTTGAGCCACACAGCAAACTGTGCTTCCTTCCAGGGGCCTTACATCTGCTCTGTAGAGCACTGCAGATAGAAACCATCACGGAAATGCCAAGGAGCCACACGAAAAAAGAACATACTACAGAAAACCAGGTGTAACATGTCTAACAGCCTCGGAATAAGCTGAAAATTCAGGGTGGCAGCAATATTTTCTTGGTCTTGCTTACACAATGTCCAGGACACAGGAATCCCAAGCATGTCTGCAGTGCCCAGCTTCTACTGAAATACAACTATTACATTATTAATTTTAAAGGTTATGAAAAATTTTAATTAGCTCTGTAAGAAAAGTCAGGCAGCTTACCTGTTTTCTCTTCCACTGTTTCTACAGCTGTGACGTGTTTCTCCATGGGACTGGGATACTGGGATAAAAATGCATAGGGTAAAGATTACCACTTCTTACATGGGTAAAAGAAAATTGCTACCTGTCATCTGTCAAGTCAGAAGCAGTTTCATAGCTTCTCTCAACAGGTATGAGCTGCCTGATACTAACAATCTGCAGCCTTCATTCAAATTAGCAGAAAGGAAGAATTTAGTAAGATTAGAAAACAAACAAGAAAACGCACAATACTATGAGAAAAATTGCTGGAAGGGGAGATGCTAGCTTCTGCTGCAGCATACAGACATCTTCCACGCACCCTCCATACCATAGAAATGAAGATGCGAGCCTTGACCCACATCACGTTTTTCAAAGAAGGGCCAAGCAGAGCTTTCAGCAGCATGGCAGCTCAATGGGCCAAAGTCCCCCATGCTACACTCCGCAGAGAACAACAGCATCCTGAGTTTCTGCAGCAAGCACGCTCCTCGTCGCTGCTGCTAAGCACGTTCAGCCACAAAACCTATTTCCTCCAGCAAAAAGCTGGAAAGGTACAGTGCAACGTCACCTGAACGCAGACTCTGGTATGTGACATTTCACTGTCCTGCAAAAGCTGCTAGAAGAGTGTGACAGCAGGATGTCACTTGGGATTGCAGCGGGGGTCCACCCTGGCAAGAGGGCATGCTCTTCTGCTCAGGGGCTGGCATGCAGCAAGGATAAGGGATTGCTACTGCCTGCTCCTGCCCAAGCTAACCTCATTTTCCTTAGGCTGTACAGACAAGTCGTTTCAAGGCTGGAAGAAAGAGACTCTCACTCCAAGACCTCCACTGCATAGGAATTATGCCAAAATCGTATAGGTCGCCTGTAGGGCAACATCCTATATAGGAAATGTATGCACGAGAACAGGACTTCTAAGGATGCATAGTCTATTTTGGAACTTACAAAACTGCTCTGGCTAGAAATGAAACAGAGAAGGCTACAAGGACCTTACTCTCCATTGCAAAATGCAACCAACATTCAACACTTTAAAAATGCAAGACAATTTATTGAGCTCAAATAATACCCAAAAGTTACTGTAACCTCCACACTAATACAAATGCCAGACTAAAGAAATGCTGACCACCAGATAAAGATGAACATTAAACAAAATACAGAGCTTTAGGAAAGGTGGGGAAATTGCATTCTAAGGCTAACTCAGTTTATGTAATGCAATTATGATGTGCAATAATAGGTGCTCCAAAATTCTGATATAAATCTTGGGTTCCAAGCTAAAAAGGTCGACAACTCCAGAACAGGCTGTTCTATAATTCAGCTCTACTATTTTTTCTTGCTGCAGAATAAAAGTTGATTTAAAAAGTGCAAGGTTTTCAAGTCCTATTCTATAGAGAAATTGGAGGCTTCTCCACAACGTGCTGCTTTGAAATGGCAGCAGTGGCATAATTACATTATCGATGTAACTTACACTCTGTAAGGCCCAATCGTGTGAAACAAAGAGCCATTTACATAAATCATTCACTAAATAGCAGGCTCTATTACCCCAGTATTTAAACAGAAATAGACTCAATTTCCTACACAGCACAGTAAAAGAAAGAACATTACAAGTCTACAAGCAGACGTAATGGCTAAGAGGAAAAACAGTGTTTCCAGCCAGCCACAGCCTCCCTGCAAGGTTCCCGTTCCCGGGGGAAGCCAAAGCTAACAGCACCAGAGAACAAAGAGCTCTCAGCCTGGCTGTTATTTCAAGCCCTGCAGTAACTCAAGCCCCAAACCCTCCTCCCCAGTACCAGAGGCACAGGAGTCTGAGTCCTCCTCCCCAGTACCAGAGGCACACATCCTCATCTGAAGGGCTCCCACTAGCCCAAGGACTTCAGCCCTGCCTGGGAGCGCAAACACAAACTGCCCTGCATCACCTCTCCTGCTCAGCAAGGGCACGGGGCAGGCACTGCCATCCCTTCCAGCAGTCACACGTGACACTGCCTCCAGCATCCTTATCCCCAACACCTTGTGTTGGGCCACAGGACACAGCAAGGACTTCCAAAATTTGGAATTGCCTGAAGAGAGGCAGCTACTACTGTGCTGCTAACCCATGGTTGTGCCCAAAAGTCACAGCTCCCACCACGTGCCGTTCACGGAGAACACAACTGCTGGCCATGCTGCAAAGGGCACCCCTGCACCAGGAGAGACCTCAGGGTGCTGAGACCAGGATGGGAGCGCCGACCTGCTCTCGGCCGTACGTCCCTGGAAGATCTCGAGGCACAGCTACTGTCCCCTCAGCCTGCGCCTGCAAACCAGCACCAGAGGGTGCCGGGGCTGGCCAGGAGCACAAGGCTGCAAGCTGAGAGGATGGGCAGCAGCTGGCTGGGCAGAATCCGGCCGGGGTGTCGAAGGGCAGCTTTCCCGCCTGCTGTCAGGGTGGGACAGGCAGGCCAACCAGCCTAGGTCTCGGGGCTGCCGGGGCAGAAGCGACTCCCCCCAGCACTGGAGGCCACTCCTGCAGCGCCGGCGGCACCTGGCGAGGAGGGACCGCCATCTTGTGGCCCAGCCTGCAAAGGCACGGCACCGCCGGTGCGCGGGCAGCGGGGCGGGCACGGCTGGGGTGCTCTGCATGTCCCCCCGCCAGAGCAGAGCATCAGCACAGCTCCCCAGCCATGGCACCTAGCCTGGCGTGTGCCAAGCTGCCGGAGGGTCCCACCAGGAGGGGACCAACACGACCCCCTCGTTATTCGAAAGTGCGTGAGCAGAAGAGACCCCCGAGGCCTGCCCGCCTGCTTGACGCAGGAACAAATCTCATCCCTCTCCCCGCTTAGGTACAATCTTCACGCCTTGCCTTTGTCAAACCCTTCCCAGACTGCAGCTGGCCCGTTCCAGACAGCTCAGACCATACCTGGGGAAGTACAACTCTAAACACTGTAACTCAAAATGCTCTACTTCTACAGAAAAGAAACAGTTATCCAGATGAAGTGTGGGTACTTTTTAAAAAAAAAATTAAATAGTTCCAATGAGTTTCTGCAGTAAATTTCTTTCCAGATTGATTTTCTTATTTTAAAGACATTTCTCCTCCATCACACTAAGAGGACCCCAAACAAATTGGCGACAGCAGAAGCCACAAAGCTGACTTTGCCTTTAAACTGACTTTTGCCATAGCTTTGAAATTACTTCTTTCTACCCTGGCTGCCAGTCACGAGTGCTTCCTGAGATGTCAGGGCTCGTTTTACAGGTGCAGAGCTGCAACAGAATCATAGAATCATTTAGGTTGGAAAAGACCTTTAAGATCATCAAGCCCAACCATTCCCCTAACCCTGCCATCCCACCACTAAACCCTGGCCCTAAGCACCTCCTCTGCCCAGTTTTTAAATACCCCCAGGAGTGGGGACTCGCCCCCTTCCCTGGGCAGCCCCTTCCAGAGCCTGACAGCCCTTTCCATGAAGAAATTTTTCCTAATGTCCAATATAAACCTCCCCTGGTGCAATTTGAGGCCATTTCCCCTCGTCCCATTGCCCGTTCCCTGGGAGAAGAGGCCAACTCGCCCCAGCTTCCCCCTCCTGCCTGGCAGTTGTAAGGGCTCCCCTCAGCCTCCTCTTCTCCAGACTGAACAACCCCAGGTCCACGACTCAGCCGCTCCCCACCAGCCTTGTGTTCCAGACCCCTCACCAGCTTTGTGGCTCTCCTCTGGACATGTTCCAGCAATGCCACACCTTTCTTGTAGTGAGGGGCCCAAAACTGAACACAGTATTCGAGGTGCAGCCTCACCAGTGCTGAGTAAAGGGGCATGATCACTGCCCTGCTCCTGCTGGCCACACCAGTCCTGATACAAGCCAGGATGCTACTGGCCCTCTTGGCCACCTGGGCACCCTGCTGGCTCATATTCAGCTGTTGTTGACCAACACCCCCAGGGCCTTTTCCACCAGGCAGCTTTCCAGCCCCTCTTCCCCACGCCTGTACAATTGCAGGGGGTTGTTGTGACCCCAGTGCAGGACCCAGCAGTTCTGAAGTGCTGAGACTCCCATACCCAGAAACCCCTCAGCATTGGGGGGTACCCAAGCGGTTACGGGGTTACCTCTCATTTCATGCCTACAGGAATTGAAGCACTCCATTCTCCACTTGCAAAAACCTGACGATTAAAATTAGATAAAGAATTCCTGTGCTCTCTCTCCTTCGGTCTTCCTGCAAATGTATTGATCGTTTTCTACAAATAACAACAAGCAGAATTGATTGCATTAGTCATTACTCTGAATCCAGGGAATTAAGACCCCACATACCTTTCCTAACTGGAATGTGTAAGATCATTTATCAAAAGCAGCAGTTTCTAACCACAGCAATGTTTCTTAGAAGTTATTTGAGGGAAATGGCAGGCCTCTAAAAGCAGCACTGTGTTTAGCAGCAGAGAGAAATCACTGCAGGTTACACATAATTATTTGTATAAAAATGAAATATTTCAAAGCAATGAAGGGCTGGTTTTACATGCAAGATCAAATGGAGCCCACATAAATCAAAATGACAGCTTCAAAGACTTGCAAAAAATAATAATATTTAAATTCATAAATATTCTGATTCTTTCTTTTTTAACTGCAAGGAAATGAAGCAGTGACACCACAAAATCAGCTAAACCTTTCCAGACTCCTCCACTTTGTTATTGGTTTGGAAAGGTGGTGGCTGTGAATAAACATAAATTTTATTAAAAAAAAAAAAAAAAAAAAAGTCTAGCCAACCCACTGCACAGATTACTCGCTGTGATAAAGATCGATAAATACAAAAGCTGTTCACATAGAGATACACTTATTTCAAATAAAAATCAATTTGTCATACTTGAACTAAATGTCTGATTTACAGTTCACGGGCTCACTTTTAAACAACACCTGCACTACGCACCTAAAGGGCACCCCAGCAGAAACTGCTGTCCCTTCCTGCAGGCTCAGGCCCCTGGGCGAGGCTCCCCTTGGCTCCGCTCCCCACAAAAGCCTAACAAGCATGGCTTTCCTACAGCCTCAGCACGGCAGCGGCTCTGCCTCGGGGCTGGCCA